ACTTGGTATCTGCATCGATATGTAATCCCCTCCCTTTGAGCGTGGGCTGAACCTAGTTACTTTCTTTGAACCAACAGAATATAGCAGTGATGTGATTAGGTTCTAATCTCATCTCTGAAATTAGGCTGTAAAAGACTAGTGGTGTCCGTCTTGCTTGTTTCTCGTGTCTTCTCTCTGGCTCTTCTTACTTGCTCACGCTGATGAATCAATCAGCTGCTATTTATTTTGTTAGCTACCTTATGGAGAGGTCCAAGTAGCAAGGAACTGAGGGCAGTTTCTGGACAATAGCCAGTGAGGAATTGAAAACCTCAGGTCAACAGCCCACAGCCCTGTGAATGAGCTTCAAGTGAACCTTTTCCTAGTCAAGTCCTGATACGACTGTAGCTTCAGCCAACACCATGACTGCAACACCATGACTTAGACCTTAAGACAAAAGACACAACTAAACTCTGCTGGAATTCCTGACCCACAGAAACTGTGAGATAATAAACATTGTTGTTTTAATCTGCTCTGTTTGGGGGTAATCTGTTACACAGTAACAGATCACTAATATGATATGCCACTCCCTTTAGTACTGCAACAATACCAGTTACTACTGTTAAACTTTAGTGTAGTCATTTTTAAAGCTTTCAAGGTCTGTTTCCTCTACTCCACGAAGCTTCATCTGTAACATCAGAAGTGTATATTGGCATCAAACATATAGCACCCAATAAAAGAGAATTCCATTCCTGGCCAAGGCCTGAATCCTGAAAATTTAGAATTCTGTATCATAGCCCTGTCTCTGTCCAGCTCCTGAGCCTGTTTTTATCCCAACAAATGCCTCCTGTGTCAGATTTCACAGTTTTTTCCTAGCTCTGACCTTAGGTTCTCCAAACAAGGTTTTCTGACCCTTCCCTCAAATAAATATACTTCCAGTTACTCCAAAATAACCACCCAGCTCCAAGAACTGGCTTTGGTTTCCAAGGTTCCTGATCCCACTGGACCTTACTAGTGGAAAGAAATTATAAATGGAAGTAATCAAAGTTAATGCTTCTCAACCATTTTTTTTTTTTTCTGCTCCATTCCATTTATTTGCACAACTCTTCCCTCAGAAACATCTCTCACCCAAACAACTCGTATAATACTCAGTGATTTTCAACCAGGGGAAGCTGACCCCTGGCCATGGCTGTATTTATACTCTGGGGGGAAAATCCATATAGTTCTTAAAAGCCCCTTATGTACTTATAATATATCCACTACCCATCTGAGGCTTATCAGACTATATAATCTCTCAATTTTCCTACTCTAAATTTTTAGGAAATGATGATTATAACAGAAATATTCAGGAGAAGGAGATATCTATAAGGCTTAGTGGCATTCTTCTCATACATTTCTGAAGTTTTGTTATATTTGAGTTCAGGAGATATGGGTTAATTATCATGAAACATCAAGTTAATAATGGTTTAGCAATGAAAGAATTATATAAATTAATGTTTACACCACTGACACCTACATTTTTTTTTTTTTTTATCCTCACCTGAGGACATTTTTCCATTTTTTGTTCAGGTAGAGTGGGAGGGAGAGAGGGAAACAGAGAGAGAGAGAGAGAGAGAAACATCGATGTGAAAGGAACACATCGAGTGGCTGCCACCCGCACGACCAACCAGGGCCGGGAACAAACTGCAACCGAGGTACGTGCCCTTAGCGGGAACTGAACCCGGGTCTCTCCAGACCGCAGGCCGATGCTCTAACCGCTGAGCCAAACCGGCCAGGGCGACAGCTACATTTTTGTACAAAAAAAATATTTCAAAATGGTGTGAATACATAATTAGAAACCAAATATGCCAAAAGTCAGAATTTGTCCAATTGGAACGCTTTGGCCCAGAAAGCAGCATAACAATATGTAAGCATATTCTGACATCTGGTGGTGGGTGGAGAATCCTACACTATTTAAAACGACATCAGTGTCTTCATGCTAAAGTAAGAAAAGGAATCCAGTAACATTGTCAGCAGGATCTGTTATTTAAAAATAGTCTACTGATGATATACCTCATAATTTATAAGATTTTCCTTTGAATTTAAAAAAAGACAAGTGTATTTTTTAGTTAAAGAAAAAAGTCCAAGTCTGTTTGACATAGGTCTTTATAAATCCTTTCTGTCCTAACATTCCTTTATGAGTTCTCCTCATGTCAATTGTTAAATGTCTGTGTTTAATTAACAACAAAGTATGACCACAGTATCTACCTATGGTTAAATTATCATGACTAATCACCCCTGTATCCCATACCTGATAGAGTGCTTACTCACAGGTGCACAGTAAATACTTGTTGATTTGAAAAAAGCTAAAAAATAACTAAATAAAACTAATTGAAGTATCTTGACCTGAAACTTATACCACCCTTCAAACTTATGGTATGATAGTTTCAAATACAATAAGGGCCTTCTGGTTCTCTGAATAGCAATGAAATATCTAGCCTTTCAAAATATTTGGCAGATGCCCTCCCCTGGCTTGCCCAGTCAAGATTCCGATTCAGTAGGTCTGAGGTACCACCCATGCATGGGTATCTGAAAAGACTCTACTACTGATTCTATTTCAAATCCGTAGTTAAGAATGACTGATTTCTCCCACTAGAACATTGTTTCAATCACCTGAACATACCCTGTTAGAGTATAACTAAGGAGAAGTACAAAAAAAAAAAACAATCTCTAATTCAAAGCTTACCAAAATTTTCATTACTGATGGTGTGACTATAAACCGGTTCAGCTCTTGCAGAGTTTATTATAAATGCACATGCCCTTTGACTCAGCAGTCCCCTTCCAGAACGTTAGTCTAGTGCACTCACAGTGCTTGAAAAGACATGTTAAAAAATAAAGCACATTGCTAAATTGAAGAAAAAAAATCAAATCAAAAGCAAGGGTAAACAAATGTCCATATATGCAAAGAGTTTTTTAAAAAGTTAGTCACTGAATCGATTGTAGACAGCAGAAGACTGGCAAGAATCCGTGCCCATCGGTCTGTGCCTGCTTAAAGAAAGGGCACACACTGCAGAACAGTGTGCAGAAGGGAGAATTCAATGAGCAAAGCTCTCTATGCAATATGAAACACTCTCCAAAATAGACTGTTATGTAATTTTTAAAAGGATTTATAACAGTGTGCATGGTGTGCTACATTTACGTTGAAATGGAAAAAGAAATTTAATTATATATATGCTTCTATTTTCATTAAATACATTTGCCATAACATGTCAGAAACTGTACAGTTTCTTGGAGACGATAATGTTGTTTGTGGGAAGGGAAATGAATCAGGAGATAGGGTTTGGGAGATAGACTTTTCACTATATATCTTCCTGTATTTTGAACCACATAAGTATATTAACTATTCAATAATTTTTTAAATATTAGAAATGTAATATGATTTTACATAAGCTTAAGCTCAAAGGCTATTATTCAATCATTAGGGAAAAGATCAGAACACTGATTACGCCAAAGCCAAACTATCATAGGTGGTTACACTTTGGTATCCCCAGATGAATAGTACAGAACCCTCTTTAAAAGATTAAATGAATTATCTGGAGATCCATCTGTAACTAAATCAGTAGGATACAGTTTTACTCAATACTGAGCATATAAATCAGTTCTGTCAGAGCTCTAACTTAATAACATCTGATCATAACAATATTCAAGGTCTTGTTGGTTAAGGTCCCATCTTTCTGCCATGTTGTATGTAAACCTTTTGTGTTTACCTTTTTAAAGGACTTAAATCCAGAGCTGTTCTATAAGAATCTTGCCCCTCTGCAGCTTACCTTTCCCTAAAAATAAGGAGGAAACTCCTACCAGGCAAAAATGCCAAGACTGGCTATTTAGTTTTTAGAACAAAGTATCCTCCTGTCATCTACATACCTAGTAACTACCAGAGCAAATAGGTTTTTCAATTAACACCAAACACCTGGCCTTCTAAGGTCTGAACTGTCCCTATCACAAGCCGACACTTGTTAATCACAGAGGAACAAATGAATGATGCTTCTCAACCACTTCCAATGAAGAATTTTTTCTGGCAGGGGGAGTGGACTTGTATTTGTGGAAAGATATGGGGACTGAAGCAAAGTGCACCAAGTGCAGAATTACTTTCAAGTCTCGAGTTTAACCTTAAAACTCCCCCAAATCGTATATTCTACTCTGCAGTTAGTTTTGTTTTAGTACAGAAAGGCTGTCTCAGTATAGAAAATGATAAAAATGCCAAGTTTTCCCTAGGACTATTTCCCTCCCAAATCTTTAAAAGTGCACTGATATTTTGTATATAGCTTGCCATTCTCCTATCCATACTGCCTTAGTTTGAATGCATGAACATAGAGGATGGGAAATAATTTTCTAAAATTATCCAGGTTTAAATAAAATTATAAAAAAACAACAAAAAAACTATAAGGCAACATAGAGCTCAATAATGAAGAAAGATATAACTTATCTTTTTAATCATGCAATGTACTACGTTACTGTTTAATGGTTTTACATGCTTCATTTTATCACTCCAAATGTAAATGCCCCCCTCCCCCACTGCAGGCTATACATCATATATTTTTGGTCTCTCCACTGAGCTTATGAAGGCAATTAAGGCACCCAATAAATTCATGACTGACCTCAGCTGACAGAGAACCCAAAAAGCGTTCTCTATTACTTTAAAAATGATTGACTATCAGTTGAAATGCAATGAATCAAGAGAACTCACTATTACTATTAGAACAGTGTATTTTAGCACTTACAACTAGAAATCATTCCAAATGAGAGACCTCAATAGCTTTTGATTGTTACACGGTAAATTAACTAGTATTGTCAAAATAATGCTGCGTAGCAATAATGCTCTTAATGTCCTTTATAAAGGGAAAAGTACATTATATCATAACTTGATATTCTAGTTAAGGTGTTTTAGGAAATATTCTAATCATACGTTATGAAGTAATTCACTTAAAAAACAAAGCCATTCTTCTTGTATGTGAAAACGACAGTTAAAACCAGACTTGGCTCACCGTTCTTTGTCAGGTACTCCACTATCTTCCCCACTACGGCGGGCACGCCATTCTCAGCGAGTCCCTGCTGCTGAAGGTCTTGGAGGCTGACGCCAAACAGCTTCTTATAGGTAGACTCCCTCTGCTCACTTAGTGGCACCGCCACTATCTTTTTCATGTCTTCTTTCAGCCGAACTGTTGCTTTACTTTGCTTAAAAGAACAAGAAAAAAAAAAGCAGTCAGTCATATTTACCACAGGAGGTTGCATGGTTACAACAGAAACACCTGAATTAAAATGTAGGTGTCTGAAAACATCTAGCAGTAGTTTTCACTTATTTTTACTTCAATCCGAAATCTCTCACATCTCTCATGTGTTGCTCAGTGTTACAAATAGCACAACTGATATGGTTAAAAGGAGTGAAAACTAATGAGAAACCTAAAGCCACAACGTAACTGTAGCTAGGAGAGAGCACCACACACTGCAGTATCTAAGACATATTACTACAGTAACCAAGGGGTGTAACTCAGAAGTACCTGGTTAAAAGGAAAATGAAACATTTGTATGAAATGGAAACATCATGCAGATTCTGAAACAGTAAGATAAAAATGTATTTAGATGTCATTTTAAGGTAGCTTTAACTTGAAATGTTAGAAATATATATAGAAATGTGGAGTACACATTTCTCTGATTTGATTACATCTGTGAATATCTCAGCAATATTTTAAGGCACATAAAATCAACTCAATTCTCTTTGAGGTTTAAAATGCCATATCTTTGAAAAGGCATCATTTTATGTAGTCACAATTTTAAAAATTTCAACAAGACTATACATACTATAAATAGAAAATGTAACTTACATTCAATTAATTCGAGTTACCAACACAATGAAAAATCCATACAAATTTGTTTTTTTTCTTTTAAACAGAAATTTGTCCTCCAAGGAAGTGTTATAAAAGATAAATTTTAACATGGTTTAATATAACTGAGTGAGGGATTTTTCTTAAAAGCATGTGTATCTGTAAGTCTAATCACTGAAAAGAAAGACAGCAAAATGTAAACAATTTTGTATTTGGGGACAGAGATAGCAGATTGGAGCAACTTGCTTTTTAAGAATGAATGTAGCAACTAACCAAAGTATTTTAAGTGCAAGCTCATGTAGCTGTTACAGTCTAAAAATAGAAATATTACTTCTTTTTGTTGAGGAAACAAAGATCAGAGTGTTAAGTAATTTGGTAAAAGTCACAGAACTAGTAAGAGTGTCATCCTATTCTAAGTTCATTTTACTCTCCCTAATTTAGATTTATATTAATGTTACAGGGCAGTTTGTGTATAATTATAGTATAACAAACTATGATAAATACTATATGTGACTCAAGACAATTACATAAAGTTAATTCTACAATCCTGATATTTAATTTTGAATCTTAAAATCTGCAGAATCAGACCAATTTTTCTTGAAATGTCTGATTTTTTTTTTTTTTTTTACATTTTATCTTCAGACAGACTGGAAGGGAAGGAGGGAGGGAGGAAGGGAAGTTGGGAGGAAGGGAAGGAGGGAGGGAGGGATGGAGGGAGGGAGGGAGGGAAAGAAAGAGAGAGAGAGAGACATTGATGTGAGAGAGACACATCGATTGGTTGCCACTCACACGACCCCAACCAGGGCTGGGGACAAACAGTAACCGAGATACGTGCCCTTGGCTAGAATCGAACCCAGGACTCCCTGATCTGCAGGTCGACACACTAACTGCTGAGCCAAACCAGCCAGGGCTGTCTGCATCTTTTAATAGGTCATATTTGAAAACTATATTTCCCTAGTGAAAATTCAACAAATATAAAGTTGCAATATAGATTTAGTATCTATTAATATTATAAATATGGGATAGTGTTAGCTACTATAGAGCAGTAGTATGAGCAAGATCTCAGTTATCAAGGAAATTATAAACTTATTAATTAAGTGAAATTTGTAACAGCTAACAATATTTTTCCTGTGGGTTTAAAAACACATCAATTTCCTTTAACTGAACATATGCAAAAATTTCAGTCAACCACATACATCTGGTGAGTGAGCAGCCAAAAAGTAACCAGTATTAATGAAACTTTGAATATTAATCTCAAATGTAGCATTAAAAACAGCTGATGATGAGATTAAGTTATATACATTTTATCTTACTTTTATTTAGCATTGTGATTTAGAGCATGGACTGTGGAACAAGTCTCCCTGTTTTTAATCCTATTCTGATCTAATTAGCTGTGAACCGTGAACAAGTCACTTAACCTCTGTGTGTCTGTTTCCCCATCTACAAAATGGGGAGACCAAGAGTTCCTATCTCAAAGAATATATTAGGCTGAAATGAGTTCATACACATAAAGGAATGAGAACAGTGTCTGGTACACTCAGTAAGTGATGATTGTTATGATGATGATCATCATCACCATCATCATCCATCATCATCTTTTTCCCTTTAGGAAAATATTCTGATTTCTTAAGAATACATAGAGAAACAACCATTCCTATACTCAGTGTTTGTGTAGACTAAAGGCTGCTGTTTAAGAAGGAATCATGGTTGAGACACATTTGGTTATTAGTCTGATGACCTACTTATACTCCCCCCCCCATATATATATTTATCTTCATCTGAGGATGTGTTTCTTATTAATTTTAGATAAAGAGGAAGGGAGAGAGAGAAACATTGATGTGAGAGACACATCAATCAGTTGCCTCCTGTACACACCCTGGCCAGGGATGGAATCCCCAACCTAGGTATGTGCGCTGACCAGGAATCAAACCCGAAACTTTTTGGTGTACAGAATGATGCTACAGCCAGCTGAGCCACCCTGCCAGGGCTCTCTCTATATCTTTAAATCTCCTTAATACATAAATATAATTTTTGAATGATAAAGATAAAATAATTTTGTACATAAGTATCAGAATTCCTCAACTTTTTAATTAGAAACTAAAGGTTTTCTTAGAAATCCTGTCTAGCCCAGCCAGTGTTGCTCAGTGGTTGAGCATCGACCCATGTACCAAAAGGTCACCAGTTCAGTTCCTGGTCAGAGCACATGCCTGGGGTTTCAGGCTTGATCCCCAGTAGGGGGGTGTGCAGGAGGCAGTCAATTGATGTTCCTCTCTCATAGATGTTTCTATCTCTCCCTCTCCCTTCCCTTCTCTCTAAAAATCAATAAAAACACATTTTTTAAAAAAGAATACTTAACTTAAAAAAAATTTTAAATCCTGTCTATATTTGAGTTTAAAATCTTGAATTAATGTTTCCTTGATTAATAGCCTCTGCTCATCATTCTCTTAGAACTGCAGGCAGTAAATTGTGTCTCTCTTAACAGACAGTGTAAATAAGCAATCTTGGCATTATGGCTTATAAAGTTTTCAAGTAAGAGACATGCAATTAACCTCACACATTTTGAAGTGATTGCAAATTAAACTACCTGTTTATTCAATATTGAGCCATACTACATAGCACATTTATATGTAATCATAGTAATAAAGGAACATCTAATTATTGTTTTTAATTAGTAATCTGATTCAGGTTAACATTTTAAAAAAAGTAAATATTGTTTAAAAACAACCACAATGAAACAAAACAGCCGTAAACAAAACAGAGACATCTGAATTGATTCTTCATTGTTCAAAAATACATATTATAAAATTGAGCTCACCTAGCCCAGTTGGTGAAGGAGTTTGCAAACAAGCAGCAATAAGATGTTACTAGCAATCTATACCTAAAGTACCCTATTACTTCAGTAGTTTATACCTAAAACATTAAAAAATGTATACAATACCTTAGAATATAAAATATCATTTCTGATAATATCCATAGCTGCTTAGTCATGAAAAAAAAATAAAACTGGAAATGAAGTCATTTATGATTAATTCTGTTTAAACTGAAATTATTTTCTGCTCTTATACAATGATCACACCACTACCTCTTTTAAACATCAACATCTGTGAAATTTTAACTTCTCAAATATACATCTTACCTTTCTTGTCCTAATATAAGCTAAAAAATAACAACGGTTACTAATTGAGTTATTCTGAGTCAAACTGAATGGTTTAAACTTTGGGTTGCATATATTCCCATACATCACTTGAGTTTGAAAACTGGACTGTATGGGGTGTGTTGTGTGCATCTTTTAAAGCAATATAGGCTCCCACATTAAAAAAGACAGACAGGGTTCCTTAAGATTTTACTGCTAGAACAATCCTTAGGGATTGTTTTTAAAGGCAGAATTAAAAGAAATTAAAATCACCTTAGGAATAAGGAAACCAGGACCCCAAAAGTTGTGGTCAATTCAGTGAGAAAGGGCTGGGCCTAGAGCCCATATCTCTGGATTTTATACCAATATTCATTGTTATAACTAAATGCTAGTGACTCTGTTTTTTTAATGCCTTTATTTATTTTTGATTGAAAATCATTTAGCTAGCTAAGAAAATGCATGCACTGGGACTGTAGAATGTTTGTGGATTTGGGACCACCTAGTCTCCAAATCACTTTTTCTAGTAATAAATCCGGACTGCCTTTGGGGGACTGACTGCACCCTCATCGTGAACAGCTCTGACGAGACTGCAACTCAAAAGGACCAACCTGGCTTTAGCGAATCTTGAGTGGACTATCACAAGGACAGAAAACTGGTTGGAGCTAACTGACTCCAGCTGCAGCGCTCACAGGACGGTTGGATCAACCAACCATTAGATTAACTCTGGCCACTATATCACTGGTGTTGCTATGGTTGGCTGCCCTTTCTGACACCTTTCCTTCAGCGATTCCTTCCGTGTGGTGATCTACACCCTAATTTTCCAGGAAAGTTTCTTTGGCCTTAAGTTAGCCAGAACCTGTTTCTGTTCTGTAAGACACATACATCTCTCCACTTGATAAAAGCACTTGCTGAAAAATAAACAATAATCAAGCAGATAAAAAAAAAAACCCCAGAGTTTTAGGGGGAACAGAAGAAAATCGGAATGATAATGACAGCTGACTTTTATGGAGTGTTTACTGACTATGTTCATTCATGGCTTCAGATACTTCAGCTGGCTTCACTCATTAAATCCTAATAAAGAAACACTAGGAAGGAAGATATGTTTGCGACCCCATTTTGCAGAGGCACGGAGGAGCCCAGTGTTGGGCTCCAGGGTCACATCGAGGATGTGGGATAGCCAGAAGTCATGCTCAGGCATCTGGGTCAGAGGCCCCGTGCTG